GTGGTCCATGGAACTGACCTGAAGGACATGACGTGTGTGTGTGTGTGTCTGTGTGTGTGTGTGTGTCGAGGGGGAAGTCTTGTCATCTCACATGAGCTGCTGCTATTGGCCACGATCTGTAAGCTTGATGAAAATGGAGTTGAAGGTGTTTTTCTGGCACATCCAGAGTGGGCTCGTTTCTGGGCTGCGAAGTTCAGCAGAACTCTTGCAGTCAGCTCCTAAGGTAAAATGGCATCGACCCACCCTGCACACCTCCTGGTTGTATTTTGTAGGAAGGCATTTAAATTATTTACGTAAGTCTTCCTATTCTCCTTCGCATAGACTGGCTGGCCCCTACTTGGGGTGACACCTCTCTCTCCAATGGGAGGTGCAAATGCAGATGATTCTCTTCCTAGTGTTTGGGGCCCTTCCCCAGTGGGAGCTCTTCCTTCACTCTGAACGGGAAAGGGCACCTTACTCCCACTTCTTTACGCTTACCGTTGGAAGGCATACTTGAGTTAGCTGCGGGGCTAGTCAGTGGTCCACCCCTCCTGGGGCAGACCTGTCTGACACCCCCTCTCCCCCATCCTCCCCGTACTAGCACCTGCTCCACACAGGGGCTCAGTGATACTTCTAACAGCGAACAAGTGAGCCAAGGTGCTGGCCTCAATTTCTCAAGGAGGGGCGCTGAGACCAGCGGCACCAGTGGCCCACTCTGAGAAGCCCGGCGCAGTACAGGTCTTAGAGTCCTGAGCTGAAGCCTCGCAGCTCTCTTCACCCAGTCTTCACAGTAAACAATCCTTTTCTCCTTGTAAGAACTGTCCTCTGTAAGTGGTGATCCCTGTCATGTCCTAACACCTCCACTGTGCCGTAAAAGTAGACTTAGGCGATGACTCCATGGCTAACCGCGCAGTAAGAGGTGGACCCATTGGGCACTTGGCCCTGCACTGGCCCTCACCGGCCCTTGCCCGCCGCCCTCCCTGCAGGGTTCTGCCACCTTTCCCTGCCCGATGAGCAGTTTCCCGAAGGGTTCCAGTTCGACACCGATGATGTGAACTTCCCCGTCGACAACCTCTGCTTTGTGGGGCTCATCTCCATGATTGACCCTCCTCGCGCCGCCGTCCCTGACGCCGTGGGCAAGTGCCGCAGTGCTGGAATCAAGGTAGTGCCCGCCACCCCGGCTCGGGTGCACGGCTGTGTCTGTCTCTCCCGGAATGTTTGTTTCTCATCCCCTGCTGTTTCGTTGTCACCAGAATCAAACCTCAGCTGGTCTTAAAATGTTTACGACCGCAGGTGAGACGAAGTGGGGCGAAGCAAAGCAGTGTGAGCCCATTTACAAGAGGGGCAGACCTGGTGTGCGTCCCTGAGTTTTCAGAGACCCAGAGTCTTTGAAATCCCCATCCTTCACACGGCGCGTGGCATGTCTCCCACGCTTGCGGTGTTTGGGTTCACTGAGTAAGGTGTTTGGCGACTGGCCTGAGCAGCTTTGTACAAGGGACACCCCCACTGCTCGGGGGATGCCTTTTGGAATGCCTCTTCGGAGGATGGCCTTGGCTCAGAAAGAGCCGTCACAGGTTTGGGATGGGTGTAACCACCTGGAGCTCATCCCCAAATTCAGGCCACTTTGATCATGCCGGGGTTTGCTTTATCATTCTTTGCCGCCGTCAGTAAAGACCCCCGCATGAAGGTGGCCTCGTGACGAGTTGCAAGCAGACTCATCCTTAACCTCTCACTAGATGCTGGGGGCTCCAGGGACTTTCTGGGGGAAATAGAAAGAAGAGATCCAAAAATGGCCTTTCTTTTTTTCACCAACAAACGTTTCGAATGCCCTTGCGTTCGGCATGCTTCACGGTCGTTGTTCTTGGCAGTTGCACGTGGTCGATCGCCCTGCCTCTTGTTACAGGTCATCATGGTCACAGGGGACCACCCAATCACAGCGAAAGCCATCGCCAAAGGTGTGGGCATCATCTCAGAGGGCAACGAAACCGTGGAAGACATTGCTGCTCGCCTCAACATCCCAGTGAGCCAGGTCAATCCCAGGTACGGCCGGAGGCGCAGCTCACGGGCGGCCCTGAGTGGCTCGTCACTGGCAGCTGTGAGCACAACCAGTACCGGTGGCGAGCCATGGGACCGGTCCTAGGGAAGGGTTCAGTACAAGAGTGAGCTCTATGAACCAACACCTAGGGTGGTACTTTTTGTTCTAGCACTTGGTGTGTTGACCTGTGACACAAGTAATCTCCCTTTTCAGGGCGGAGGAGCTAAGGGCTAGATCGGTTCAAAGTGCTTTAGAAGTGGTGGAGTCAGACAGTGGCGTCTGATCCCTGCTGTTAGCTGCTGCGCTGCTTAGCCGTGCCAGTCTGTGGGTCCACAGGAGACACACGCCGAGAGGAAAGGACAGTTACTGAAGTCGTTCCAGGCCGTGGCAGACAGCTCCCTCGCCCTGCATGGGTGATTGGGCTGGGGGAGGCTTAGCACTTTATCAGCTCTGCCACTTTGTACAACGTGGCCTGTTAGTTCCACGTGATGGGACATGATAGGCCGGGCCTGCCTTGAAGGAGATGGTTGACCTGGAACGTTCGCTACACAGATCACGCCTCCTCCTTCCGCCTTTGCTCCGTGTGTCCCGAGACGCAGCCTCCCCCTGGTGAGGGTGAGCATTGTGCGGATGGAGTCATGGGGCATCGCTTTGCTGTCTTCACTGCAGAGATGCCAAGGCCTGTGTGGTCCATGGAACTGACCTGAAGGACATGACGTCCGAGCAGCTGGATGACATTTTGAAGTACCACACGGAGATTGTGTTTGCCAGGACCTCCCCTCAGCAGAAGCTCATCATTGTGGAAGGCTGCCAGAGACAGGTCAGGGGCGTGGCCAGAGCCTGCAGGCTGGCCCAGCCACTCACTGTCGACCCCCGAGGTGGTGGCTCGCGTGCCAACGAACACAGGGCGAGGGAAGCACCCACTCCACTCTCCTCAAGCCAGGAGAAGCCAGCCTCCTCTCAGGAGTGCAGTGAGATGGCTGGCTGAGTGGTCGCGGTTGAGTAGAGAATAGGCCAGGTCTCCACAGTGGCCTGTTG